CCCCCCCCCCCCCCCCCCCCCCCCGGTATCTCTCAGAAGCGAAAGGGAGCCTGGCTTGACAACACAGCATCTGGGGTTCTTCTGAAAACATGAGTCTGTTTCACTATGTTACATGCATTTGCATTGTCAAGCAAGTGATTTTGATTTCTCTCACCATGTTTGACAAAAAGACTTAGAATCTGACTCGCGAGTTATGAAAACTACAACTCGGACATATCCCGCTAACTAGAAACCTTCTCCACGTATTGAAATAACAAACTGGAATACGAGCCCTCCACGCATTGTTGTAGGAAGGCTGCGAAAAACAGTAGATATTTCCAAAGTATGAAACAAGTCGGGAAACCTGGGCTCGATACCCAGTTTGCCAGAGCTGCTGCTGGGCAACATTTTTGAGTTATTGAGATAATACACCTGAATACTGATGTGGGGCTAACTTAATGTGAGCAAATGTAACTTTTGAAAACAAGACCTACCTAATACCTGCAGCATAACTTAAGAATTAACCAGTCCGTGGATCATAATTTTAAGGGGCGAGATACAAGGAGAAAAAGCACAATTTTCTCTTTCTTTATAAACACCCTTGTTCATTCACCTCTGAACATAACTGCAGCAGCGTTCATCACCCCCTCTGCTACGCGGGGCAGAAACGATAGGTTTCCTCAGATCAGCACTGTGTTTTAATACCGAAGTGCCTCATGACTCGGGTTGAAAGTAGGTGCCCACGAGACTCAGGCGCTGCACTTAACGCTGGTCCTGTGCCAAAGAGCTCTTCGTCTGAACAGCTCGAACAAGGGGGGAAGGAAGCAAGTGTATTTGTTTTGTACATAGAAATGGAGAGGTGGAAATTTTTGCTGAGTACATCATGAAGCTCACTGCCCTGGATTCCAGTGTGAGCCGAGAGCTCGCTGTTTCGGTTTTATTTGGGTTATATACCGGTTACCTTAATCCTCTGCACTTTTGGCTCACATTACAGCATATCCAACAAGCCTACAAAAAACAAGCTGGCTTCAAGCACTCATTTATGAGAAATTGTGGAAAAGGGTAACTGTTATAAATACAAAGCTCCTCTGCCCTGAACACAATGTTACCCCGTTACCATTACGGTCATGGGACCATGTCACTTCATCTATTCACCATTAATTCAAAGAAGCGATTAGTCACAGGAGTGATGTGGGTCACGACGTATCTCAGTATCGTTAATGTCTTTGTAAGTCTGTTGACATCTGACCTGTTGTCCTAGGACTTACCGATGTCTTCGCCTGGATTAGACAGACCTCCTGGAAATTTCCACGCATTTAGTGTCTGTATTGGAGGAAAAAAATACTAATGAAGTATGCAGCCTGTTTTGTACTCGCTAATACTAAGGAGACAATTAACACATGACTTTTTTTCTTAGAGTTGCAGTATTGTAATTACTCTTACAATCATCGGTAAGGCTTTAAGTAGGAACCTCTTTGTTCTTGCTAATGTGATGATCAGAGATATCTACAGTCTGTATGAAATATTGGTACATAACATCTACTGATTGAAATTACAAACTGTCTAACAGTCATTAGACAATGTTGCTGCTAGATAACTAGATAGAGTAGTTGAATATTAAAAAAAAGCTGCTATAGACTATATAATCTTATATTTAATCACGAATGTATTCCACTTCAATGGTTTTGGCTTTTAAAAAATGTATATATATTTAATCTTACAAACAGGTATTATGATTGTAGTATTGTTCTATACTGCACTGGCTTTAAGATGACTTTTTGTGTCTGTAATAACCATTTAGTGTAACTTGTCATTTGTTTTCATGGAAAACAAAAACTGAGGCCTTGTGTGTGATTTATGTATAGAAGCATTTATTGAATTGCAATAAAGTTCAGTACTTAGAACGTGAAGTGCAGACTTGGTGCTGTTATTGATACTGGTAAAGGAGTCCCCGTTCCTACACCTCTTGCAAATTCATAACGATTTGTAGGCTTTACCTTTACATCTAGGTACTATTCTTTCTTTTTATTTCTTTCTTTATTAAAAGTTTACGGAGGAAGAAGTTAACCTTCAACTAGATATTAATGCAGTAAAAAGGTACACTCGGGGGGAAAAAAGAGAGCTTTTCTTTGTACATGCAGCATAGAGAGGGAAGTTGTGTGCTCTCCAGTGATTTGAAACCCCACCGACTACAATGGAAAATGTTTTTTTCTGGGCACTCTTCAAGGCCTTGGAAAGTAATGGATTAAAAATAGTGCAGATGGAAAATACATATATTTGTCTATTGGCTTTCAGATTTGCTTTCAGTTCCTGGAAATCTTTGTGTGCTGTGGAATTGTCCTTTCATGATTAAACCCAAGCAGCTCTTAAAATTCTACTAGCCGTTTAATTTTTTTTTAAGCTTTCAGAACATTATTTGTATTAAAAGTCACTGTTTCAGGGAAATTGTTAATTTCGTGGGGAAGGAGAAGGGAGAGGAGTGGTGGAACTGACAGTGGGAAACAGACGCTGTCTGAGCCAACGTGGGTATTCATTCAGACGCTGCCTGAGCTGCGTACGGGTATTCATACACTTCACGTTTTTATACTTAATTTTATCCACTCAATAAAAGAGAGCTGTGAAGAGGGGAGTTGGAAACAATTGTATTTTTCCCTTCACCTTCCTCACTCACTCTGTTAGGCATCAGCTTTGTTCTGGAAAGTGAAGCTGAAATAGTTGACTGGAATCTCCCCACCCCACTTTTCGGAATGAGCTGGAGGGAAGAGTGGTGCCAGGCTGGTCCTCTTGTGTTTTGGGGCCCGGGGCTCAGGAGGCAATGTCTGGTGAGTATGGAATTGGACCTAGAACCTGAATAGAGCATCTGATGTCTCACGGTAAAACAGGATAGAGCGAGCTGCATTTAAAATGGCTGCGGGTGCACGTTAACAAACCCACAGCGTTAAGGAGCTAAACCTTAAGCCTCCTGCGCTTAGGAAACTACTTTTTCCTTCTAAACACGCAGAATGTGCGATTTCCGTTTTTACTCTTTGAGACCTGTTTAAGATATTTACTAAAAGGTAAGCATGCAGTTTCAGAATTTCTGTGTGCATAAAAGGGAAAAAAAAAAGGTAGCATTTCTAAAGTTTATAATGCATTCTTTGTTCCTGGAGACTTGCTAGAACTGGAACCACTTTTGGAGCCTACAGCCTGCATGCTGGATTTATGCTTTAATTGGTAATTACTGAATGTAAGCCTGAAAGTCCTGCTATAGAGAAGTCATTGAAAATTTACTTTATGAAAAGTAAAAATACAAAATTAATAGTTTACAGGAAACAAGAAAAGGGTGTTTCTCTTCCTCTGAACTTGTGTCACAAACACAATGTGTTGTATGATTGAACCTGCCCATGAAAGCACCCTTTCACTGAAGTTCATTAACTGTGTTGTAGTTACCAATGAACTGAAGCGATGTTTTGGGTCCTGAGAAGAAATCTCTTAGCAGCTATTTCAGGAAAGACAGAAAAATGCAGCCAGTGAGATTCTGGCATAAGTTTAACCACGTAAAATGAAAATGACGCATCCAAGTATACTTCAGTTAGTGTATGCAAGTTTTGATTGCTTCCATGTTAAAATTGCAGTTCATCTCCCTGTACCAGAGACACTTGTATTTAATTCGCAAATGAAAGCATCGTGGAAGCGAAGTATATTTTAAATGGAACAAGCACAGGCAACTGCTAATGAGCTAGTGAGCTTTCTGCGCTTGCTGCATTAAAACCTAGGTTAGCCTGACAGGGGCTGGAAGGCGTTACCAGTGATGGATGCCTGGTTACCTCCAGCCACATCACACGGCCCACCGTCACCACGCTAACGCTTTCTGGTTTGGCATTCTCGGTAGCGAGGTCAGGCATCTCAGTTTGTGAGAAATTAATGGTCTTTACACCTGCTGTACAAAGATGGTCTCCAGGTCATGGGCAACCATGTTCTTGCTTATTTAAAGCCACAGGTATGCCTGGAATTTTCAAACCAAACAGAATCAGAATCCTTCTCCCAAAACCTGCTTTGAGCCATGGGGGTATTCCAGAGGCCTGCATGGATCCAAACACAAGATCAGGGATTCTTGGGTCAGTTACAGGAGAGAACAGAAAACTGAAAGCAGAAAGGATGCTTAATTCTGCTCATTCAATCACCAGTTATAATTAAGAACAAAGCCGTTGATTTTCAAAGTCTGTTTTTTTTTCCTTCAAATGCAATACAGCAATGTGTTGATAGATGTGTTCCAAGACACACACAAGTTACCTATGACAATTTTGGACTGGAATGAAAAGAAAAAGATCTTTGTTTTATACTACAGAGTAGGCTCGTCTAAAGGAACTTCTCTATTTTATAATCCGATAACAAACTTACCCTATTTCTGTCTTGTACGACCAACACCTTTCCAGTGCTTCCATCTAGAACAGCACCTAGTAGAGAGATAATATTGAAAAAAGATTGTTAGACACCTACGTTCAATCTTAACAGCCATAATTTAATGCGTTTTGCTAAAGCACGACAAACCCCTAGTGATACTCAGTTTACAGTTAGCAAGGTTTGTCCGGATGAATCACAGAGAGTGGTTTGTTGGTGGAAAACTGATACACAGTAAAATATGAAAAAAGGTTCACTATCCTGTATAAAAATTTGAAGTTAGCAGTACCAAGATAAGTACTTCCCACATTTAAGGTCCAGATTAGACAAGAAATGAAAAGAATATTTTCTTGTGTTAATATGATCAGAACTAAAGAATTCAAGATCAAGACGTCTTCTGAATAATCTAGCAAAGCTGCTTGCTTCAGCAGAGCTGTGCCTGTAATCTTGCTCAAATAACAGAAGTTTTTCCAGTGACTCTGGCTGAGCAGCCACGACGGGCAAGAACCCTTCTCCAGTAAAACTCGTGACAAAACTCCTGCCTGGGTGTTTTCTGGTTAATAATACACAAGGTTTAGTACTCAATGGGCTGACTGTACTGACAATATTCAACTGGTTGACTAGCAGCTCCTACTGTGCTACCCAGCTAGCAACTCGTGATAGGAACTGCACAGTAATCCGAGTCAATTTGTTAATCAAAAGGCATTGCTTCCAAGTGGAAAAGTGCCGCTTTCACTTGATTCATACATCCTGATTTATTTTTTTTACTGAAAAGTTCAGCTTTTCCTTGTGCCCTCATGCTCAGCCCATGACTTTCTTCCCGCAGATTACAAGTTTTCCTACTTTTTAAAACCCAAGTGCTTTCATGTTTAATCATCATGTCACACTCATCGGTCATACTTTCAAAATGCCTTCGCTTTAAAACAGGTATTTTTCTCAGATTTTAAAGCGCGCTGTGGTGAGCAGAATGAGCACAGTGGTGCAACTTACCAGGCTCTTTTCCACATCAGTCGTGCCTGGGTTTCAAATTAGTAGGTAACAATAAAAAAATGCTTATATCATTTTACAGCAGGAGGAAGAGTATATGGACAGATCCGTGATGATATACGCATTTAAAATGCTACGGGGAAGTATTTCCACAGAAGGGAATTATTAGGGAATGACTGTCCAGCTCATTCTCTGTTTTCTAATAATACATGGCAGACTTATGTGTAGGAGGAATATTTAGAAGATGAAATACCAGTCTTCCTTCAAGATATGTCAAAGGACGTGCTTTAAGAGGGTAGTCACATATCTGCCTCCCCATGGCTTGTGCCTTTATGATTTCATTCCTCCTGCAAATATTTAGCAGTGTCCATGTTCAAGTACTGTACCGATTAAAAGAGGGAACAAAAGGAAAGCAGGAGCAACTTCGATGCATGCTGTGATTACAGGGATTATTTTCTAGAAAAGACATTCTTCGGCCAAATGGTTTGCTGAGACTAAGGAGGACTGCTGAAGGCAGGAAATTGCAGTTTGAATCAAACAGAAAGAACGATTCTCTCTCCTCTCTTCCCCAGAAATTGATGCTTATGAATGTAATTTTTGGCAGTGAAATGCTCTGAGAGATGTCCAGAATCTCTGCTAGATGATACCTAAATCGAAAGCACGAAGAAAGGAAAAACACTACGGGGATTTGCTGTCTGGCCTCGTTTTCCCAAGTGTCACTCAGGAGTCCCTCTGCTGAAGCTCGCCGGGCCACACCTGGTTAGTAGCGGTCAGACCAGAGCTTGGCTGCGGGCTCTGAACCGTGGCTTTAAAAACTCTCCCTCTTGCTACAAATGTGGTACCTGGAGCTTTAAATCATCCAACACCAGGATGACTTTCTGGAAAGGTTTACACTTGTAACCTAACCAAGTAATCGCTGTTACAACACTGCTTTGTTTTGAATGTTCTCTTTTGGGAAATAGGTTAAGAAAATTTATTAAAAAAAAAATAAATCCAAAACAACCCCTTAGACAACTCCCGACAATGAGTAATGGAGGGGAAAAATATCTTCATTCTATCTGTTTTATTTATGACTGATGTAAACATGTATCAAAAGATGTTCAGTGTTGAAAAGCACTTGTCATCCAGGTAACGAACGCACACATGACTGCTTGTGTGGTAAACATCAGCAGACAGGAATAGGTATTACTTTGTAAAACAACTCGGGAACTGCTTTTAAATCACTTTTGATTCCTTCGACCATCGTAACCTATCTAACCCCATCTTCCTGTGCAGTTTTGAATTTATGCAGCTGCTCATTTTACACGTTTCCTTAAGTAGCAGGACTGGCCAAAGCTGATGATCGTGTGTGTATGAGCCTGTGGAGACCCTTCTCTCTCTTCAACGACTTTGTTTCAACAACTAGATTAAGGTAGGTAGCAATGAAAGTAACAGCTGTGTTGTAAGGCTTATACCACATGTGAGGGAGAAGAGAATGACTTTTACTTTTCTTCCTCTCCTCTCACTTTCCTGCTTCAATCTGTCTTCCTATGACATTGTTACATGGCATATTTACACACACATCACTTTCTGGACGGCAGACCACTTCCTCCTAGGAGGCGGAGAATTTTGGAAATGCTCTTCAAAAACATCTTAATCATGTCATACACCAGAAGCTTTTCTGTACCTTTACATATTTGGAAAATCCTGCCGCCTACAAACAGATGCAGTAAGTTGGAAGACACATCACATATTCCACTATTTCTAAACAATAATGGCCAAGCCCAATGAGTAACATTTGCTACTCTCTGCTTGGCGACTTTGATCTAGTCTGGCAAAATATGACCTGACCTTGCTTATTCACACCTTTGTCATCACTTGGCTGGCTGATGCTGAGGCACTGGCCCTGGCCGCGCAGCGTTCGCTCTGTGGGAAACTCCAGACAGGACAAAAACCAGCTGCTGGTCTACTTGGCAATGCAGGCTCGCTACCTGTTGTCTGCTCCCTGCGCTGGCTTCCTGCAGGCTAGCAAACCACTCCCAGCGTCTCTGCTTTTTATTTTCAGGATGCTCAAGGGACTAAACCCTGTATTTAACTCATTGGCCACAGCTTTGAGATGAAGACTCTCATCAGCAGATTTGCTTCTCTTTACTGCAGAAACTTTCTAAAACGCAGTTTTTCGTGCAGGAAATAAAAATGCCTAGGGTTAGGCACACACCCACAATATAAACGCACATATTTAAATAATCTAATATTTCCATAATTAATTAAATTAATTAATTAATAATAGAACAAAGCCTTTCCACTACCCAGGCTGTCCCTCCTGAAGGAGAAAGACAATGGAATAAACATATGCCAGGTGGTATCCACACAGGCTAGTGTATTCTTGGAATGTGTTCCAGATCCACTGAGAGTGAGTGGAACAGAGGAAAAAAAAAAATATTGCAGTCATGATTTCACACACAGAAATCTGTCTGTTTGCCTACACAAATGCCTTCCTTAAGTCTTTACCTCTTTTAAAGAAACTCCCAATAATGAATAAAAATGTATAGGTGTGAAAAGGGGTAGCAAAGAATACATACATTATATGTTGTGCAATTTTTAAATCTGTGCAATGAATTATGAAATCCATAAACCTGCATTTATGAAACTTTTTCATTCCTCAAGGTTTTTTCCTACTTGCAGAGTGCGAAGTGTTTATCTCAAAGTACAACAGCAAATTATGCTTTGAAAGTGCATTTTTTTGTATTTTCAAATGTTTGAGAATTTTTCAGTTATGATTTTTCTTGTATTATGTCCTTCCTGACAACCATCGGTATCACAACACATCTATTACATGATTTTCTTTTAAATAGCACTTTCAGCTATGCAAAACCTACTTCAGAAAAATCCCCTTTCAGTTAGTCATGTTTCCTCAAACATGCACGTTATAACCATAAGGAATAACATGGTGCTTTTGCTAGGAGAATGCATTATCTTACTCGAGTTTAATGCCACATATTTTAATGGTGAGGTTTTCATACCTCAGGAAAACATGCTCTAACATGTCCATTGAAAAAATCCAAGCCTGTCTTCGGCTTCTATGCTGCCCTCTGCTGGCTTTCTCACTGAAAACTCCCACTACCGACAGTCGCACCACCGTTTTGTAACTGAAGGCTTTGTTTTTTTCCAAAACTCACTTTGACCTGACCTGCTGCTACATAGAATAATCCAGCTTTTATGAGTTCTTCCTAACTAGATTTTTCAAATTGCTATTTATGGATCTTAACAGCACTTGGTGAAGTAACGGCCCTGCAAGCCGAGAACAAATTAGCCAAGCTTGTGAAGGGAGAGATTTGCTATCTCTCTGCTCTAACTGCTGAGTGCTACATAGTCTTTACCAGTACACAAGGGGTACTGGTACTGCTCCAGATCACAGGAGATTCCTGAGAGATGGGACAGGTAATTGCATATCTTTGGAAGACTGCTGAGAGAGCGAGGGCAAAACCATTCAAATTTGGTGAAGCTGAGTTCAAGTTGACTCATCACCAGTTCCTTGTACTGTGCTGTATTAAAAAAATGGGGCACCATCTTACCTAGTTCCTTGGGAATTTCCTCAGTTTTTAGAGCAACTCCTTTCCAACTGTGGTTGTGGGAGGTCTAGATAGGCAAGAGTATGGTGTCCGGATGCTTGTAAAATACATTCGTTTGGGTTGCGGACTTCTAGGCACAGCTCAGAGCAGCTTTTGGACTGTTGTAGTTTAAGCTGACAGTTGTGCTAGCTCCCGAGCAATCCCTGTTGGGTCAAGTTTGACCTTAACTTGAGCATAATTTAGGCAGATGCATATATTAAGCATCTACAGTAAGGACAGGGAGCAGAGAAATTATTTTTTTCTAAGAAGTTTGTAGTTACTTTTAAAAAACTGCTTGAACCTTGAAATCCTACCTCTCTCACCTGCAAGGTGAAAGCCAAGATGTGTTTCTCAAAATGGCGTTCAGAAACCATATTTGTGAGGTAAATTTTAAAGCTTTACGACCACATTTTCTTCTCCCTGAGCTACGTATGATTTTCTCAGTGGAACAGTTTTGAGAAACCTCTCTCTTTATTGGCCTGTTTTTAGCAATACACACGCCATTCATGAATGACATGCTTCACTTTGTAAAGCCACCCTAACAGTAACCAGCTTGTTTCTATGCGTTGGTTGTGCAGAGGAACAGCCGATTACCTACTGAACCTGGTCCCAAGGGCTTCTTCAAAAGGCGTTTCGTGGGTCCAACTGCTGTCATAACTAACCTGCGACCCCCAGCTGGTGGGTGGCGAACCCCGGCAGCCTGTTGGGCCCTTCTCCCAGCCACAGCATCAAGGTGGACGAGCCCTGCTCGGCGTGGTGGAAGGCAAAGCCTTGCGAAGCGGCCGCCGCCGCGAACCGACTCTGGAGGATGGGGACGCGCAGCCAGACGGCGACACGGCCTTCCTCCCGCCACCGGGCCACCGCGCCTGCAGGAGAGCAAGGGAAGGAGGGTAAGGGCTGCTGCTGCTGCTCAGAGACCCTCCCTCACCCTTGCTTCTTCTGGTTTTAAACCTCTTCGTGCACAAACAGGCGAGATTAATGCCTCAAAGTTTGTATTTTCACCTCATTCACCACAGGGTCAAACTCCCATCGGTGTGAGAAACGTGTCAGCGGCGACAGGAGGCGGCGCCGCCAGCTCGGCATTTTATGTGGTACGATTTACTGTTTACGCGGTACCATTTAGTGTTTACGCACAAAACGATGGCTTTTGCGTTAGGATCTGCCCTAAGGCACAGGGAAATGGATCTTTGGCCCCTTCCGTCGCCTCTGCCAACGCCCTCCACCACACGGCCGCGGCTGCCTGCCTGCGTGTGGGGGGCGA